AAACTTCCTTTTATCTCCATCCTTCCTTTCTTCTCGCGGAAATCTTCTATTTATCTTCAAACTTGCCTTTTATCTCCCTTTTGCGAATAAACCGTCAAAACGTCATTGTATCTTCGAGTTTCATTTCGTTAATGTCGCGAGATGGGTTTTTATCGTGTTTTCGGACCTTTCGGGCCGCTTTACGATAAAAAACCATTTTACGATTTTATACGAGATCGTTTCCTGATCCAATGCCATTTTTTACGATTTTCTCGACGTTTTTTATTAAAAACGTGTTTTTATGATCTTATCGAAAAATCTCGGATAAATCGTATAGTTTAGACGATGTTCGGTGTCTTGCTTAACCGTTACCATTTTATACGATTTCTTCGAGTTCTTTTTGAGAAAGCCGAGTTTTACGGTTTTTATCATAAAACTCGAACGATAAGTCGGATCGAGACGAAACGAGAGACATTTCGGCCGTGGTTCAAAATGTGACCGTGTCGAAGGACGTAAGTTTCGAATCAGGGATGCGGGAGATCGAGGCTCGGGATGGTCGGTTCAGTGTACGGAGAATCGAGCCGGTCCGGTCCAGCTGTCCGAGGAGCTTCTAGTTCGCCTGCTGGCGAACTAAGCCAGCTTGGCTTAGTTTGCCAGCAGGCGAACTAGTCAGGGTATTCCTAGTTCGCCTGCTGGCGAACTAAGCCGAGCTGGCTTAGTTCGCCAGAAGGTGAACTAGTCGAGGGGCTCCTGGTTCGCCTTCTGGCGAACTAGTCGAGGGACTCCTAGTTCGTCTGCTGGCGAACTAAGCCGGGCTGGATTAGTTTGCCAGTAGGCGAACTAGTGGAGAGGCTCCTAGTTCGCCAGCAGGCGAACTAGTGGAGAGGCTCTTAGTTCGCCTGCAGGCGAACTGGTAGTGACTAGTTCGCGTTTTGCGGCGGTTTCGGTTTTTTGCGATTTTGTAAAATGATTCTCGAGTTTTATAAAATGGTTCTTCGAGTTTTTATAAAACGATCGTCAAGTTTTATAAAACGATTCTGGAGTTTTATAAAACGATTCTTGAGTTTTATAAAACGATTCTCGAGTTTTATAAAAAGGTTCTTCGAGTTTTATAAAACGATCGTCGAGTTTTATAAAACGACTCTCGAGTTTTATAAAACGATTCTCGAGTTTTATAAAACGATTCTCGAGTTTTATAAAACCGTTCTTTGAATTTTTATAAAACGATCGTCGAGTTTTATAAAACGACTCTCCAGTTTTATAAAACGATTCTCGAGTTTTATAGAACGGTTCTTCGAGTTTTTTTAAAACGGTCGTCGAGTTTTATAAAACGATTCTCGAGTTTTATAAAACGATTTTTGCGGAAAGTAATGATTCCATTTTTACAGAAGTTATCGTAGACGTTGATTTCGATATTACGGTTTTTGACACCAACAACAGTTGGAGCATGTATTGACTTCCCAAACAAGAAGGTCACACTCCTCAATGACAACTAGGCTGTATCTTACCCAATCCAGTATCCAATGGATGCTGAGTATTGTGGAACAATCAGTTGTGAAAACACATCACTTGAGAAGACCCAAGCTGAAGTGGTTGTAACTGAGAAAGAAGATCTTGCTGGCAAGTATTCACAAGAGTTGTGTGTAGAGCACTTGGAAAGTGTTAAAAATGAGGGGGTGAGTGGAGCAACAAAAGCTGCTCATGACAAGAAGAAGATAGTGAAAGAACCTCAACCTCCACCTCTTGACAAGATGCCCCACACTCTCACTCTCCACCCAATGAAGCTCAAGGATGGAGCCATTGAGTACAAGAGCAAGTGCAAGGGAAGGTCTAAGCCATTCTCCAGTGCAAGAGCCACCATCACTCTTGAGGGTGGGAAGGACCCTCCTTCTCACTAACTCCAAGTAAGTGCATCCTTACCTTTGTAAATATTTAGTTCATTCATCTTTTATCTCTCTCTTCATCTCTCTTCCAAGTTTACACTCACACAAGGGACTATGTGAAGTAAGTTTGGGGGAGAGTCTACTGTCTCACATTGTGTTTTGTTTTATTCTCTTGTCATGAGTCTCATGCATTGCATTGTACATACTTATTGGCATAGAAAAACCACAAAAAATGAAAATTAAAAAAAAAATCATTTAGGTTGCATCACTTGCATTTCTAGGAGAGTCTAGAGCATATAGTTTGCATTCACTTGCATTGGGAGCAATGATTTTAAAACACCTTGTAAAGAACACTTTTCAAGAGCTCAAAGTGACACCCTAGTTAGACATATCAAGTAGCTTGAGCATCTCTTGAAAGCCTTGCACGCTTCAAGCCTTGAGAACTCTTCTTGAAACATGTTTGCTTGCTTTAAATTGACATTATTCTTGAAACCAGCTTCAATCTGAAATTTGGCTTAATGAACTTAATCTCTCTTGCATATGGGCACTTGCATACTTGATCATGGATCTCATACACATTTGGGTTATCTTATTTCATTTTACCACTCTTTTGTTAACGCAAATGGTACTCCACACCCTTGAACCCAAGCCATTCTTTTGAGACCAAACACTGATTTGCATGAGTGGGGCCTCTTTTGATAGCTTGTCATGTGCAAAATCTTGAGAGTATTGGAGGCGACATAGGATTGTTCTCATCTCTTGCTAGCATAAGAACCTCTTTTAAGCTAACATCTAGGATGGTGAGTGGGTTTATGTGTTCTAAAAGTTAATATCTTGGTTTTTGGATGAGAGATTATGAGAAAGTTGGCTAAAGTGTACCTTGAGAAAAGAAAGAAAGCCACTAAGGACCAAAATGAAGAGAAGCTCTAGATTGTATCTAAAAGAAAAGCTTACCAAAAAAAAAAGAGAGAAAAAGAAGAAAAGTAAGAGCTAAGCAGTAAAAAGTATGTGAAGAGTCCCCAGTTGGTGGTGTAAATCAATAAAAGGAAAAGAAAAAGAGAGAAAGAAACATGTTCATTGGGTGAGTGATGTGAGTAAAGTCTATTTGGGATCATGGGATGAAGAAAAAAAGGTTAGAACTTGTGATCACATAGGAAAATAGTAGAATGATAAGAATAAGACTATGTATGCATGGATTGCCTCTAGTCTTAGATAAATTTTGCATAATGATCAAGCTCTTTGTTCTTGAGTGAAAAAATGATGATGCATTTGAGCCTTCCTCTTCATTCTCATTAGACCATTCGCTTGCCTAGCCAAATGATTGAGATCATGTGCCCATTTGTGAGAATTCACCTTGTGTGTGTGTGTGTGAACTAATGTGAGAGTTGGTTTAAAGAACTTGTAAATTGAAGAGTTTTTCACCTTGCTTAAAGGAATAAGAGTTTGCTGATATGCCTAGAGAAGCTAGAGTATAATAAGAGAGTGTGCTCATGCTATTTGCTATGTCTCTTTAGAATGTTAAGTTGAGTTCTAGAAAGTTCACTTGAGGACAAGTAAAGAACAAGTTTGGGGGAGTTGATGTCTTGCATATTTCCATTGTTTTATACATTCATCCATATGCATTTTGATCATATAGACTAGGATTTAGTCATTTCTAGGCTGCATTTTGCATACATGAGTTCTTATCAGGTATTGGAGTATCCTTGGAGCTCTTAGAGGTGATTGTATGCATTTGAGGTCCAAAAGAAGAGTTTGAAGTGATCATTGGACGAGTAAGGCGGGAGCGACGTTCCAGAGTGACCACATAATGTCGCTCCCAAGCTAGAGTGACCCCCAGAGCGAGACGTCATGGTCGCTCGGCCTTTTGACACTCAGTTGCAGGAGGAGGTCCTGGAGCGACGTCCATAGGTCACTCCCAGCCAGAGCGACCTCCCGGAGCGAGGCACCTAGGTCGCTCGCCTTTTTATCAAATCCGGAAGCTGAAACAGCCCCTGGAGCGACGTCTTGGAGTGACAACCCTAGGTCGCTCTGGCTCCAGAGCGACGTTTTGGAGCGACGTTCGAGGTCGCTCCACGTCATTTGTTTGGTCGAAAACTTGTGTTATTTCAGGGACCTTTTGGTCATTTGTTTCATGTTTTTAAACTTCCTAAACCTAAGTTTAAGTATCCTTTTGTACCCTACCAGGCAGATTAGATTTGATCTTGAAGAGAAAACACAAAAACCTCTTGGAAAAGTTGGTTTCTATGAATCACTCTTCATTGTTCTTGTGATCTTGTTTTGTTTCATTGCTTATTCCACTCATCTTATATGATTAAGCTTGAATCCAATATGGGTTTAAGAGGAATCATGAAGATTTGTGAGTAATCAACTTTAGAATTCATGGGATAGGGAGATTAAGGGTGGTTAAACTAGAATTAGGATGTTTAGTGTAGGTTTCTCTTATTCCTTGCTAGTTGAGTATTCTTAATGCATCTTTTGAGTTGGCCCCTCAAAGGTTGAGCTTTAGGCATTTCCCACCTCACAAGGTGTTCGATGAAATGCCTGAGCCAACTCTCCTAATCTTTTAACACACTTTACCAAAGACATTTGTTGTTAAAGGTGTTAAGATAGCCAATAGACTTGTTCTTAATGATTACTTATGTAACATTCAACCGAAGACATCTGATGTTTGAGTTATGTTAGTAAATAAGCATTCATATAGACATAGAGCTTGCTTAGAAGTGTTAAGGTTAATAGTTTAATTGATCATTTGCCATCCTTAGTTTGAAGTTTGATCACCCAAGATCTAATCCATACTCCAATGGGTTCTCCTTTTTCTTAATCAAAGAAGTCATTTTAGTTATCGCTTTTCTTATTCTTAGTTATAGTTCAAAACCATCATTTATTTGCTTGCATTTAGATTAAGTGAGTACTTGTATTCTCGATGCTTTAAAATCCCTTAGAATTGGTTCGACAATCTTTTATACTACATCATTTGTTTTAGAAGTCTTGAAAACTCTTAATTTCATTTAACGATTCTGTTTAATTTATGCATATATCTTAACTCCACAAAAGCAGTATAAATACTTTATTACATATGACATGTCAAATAGTATCTAAAGAAAAACAAGATTTATTCATTTTAAGACTATTGAAACCATGAAAACAGGCTTAACCATCTTGCAGCTGTCCTTTTGCCTCAGCCTAATCGTGGTTGTATCCCTATCTATGGGGATGCGTCCAGAAACGTGTGACCAGTACGAGTGTCCAACCTACGAAATGCCAGAAGCCGGAAATGGCTACGAGATCTGTGTGTATAAATCTGCGGTCTGGATGTCCACTGGGTCTATCCCTGCCCCATCCATGACTGAAGCCTCCAAAACCGGTTTCCAATGGTAATTTACAATTTTCAATCTAATCTTTTTTTTTTGACAAAGGGTTTCAATCTAATCTTTGTTATTTAAAAGTATCCTATAACTGGACTGTGAACTACCCTATAAGCATTTACCTTTAAATTTTTATACGGAATATGTACGTTAAATATCTTGTAAAGAAAATAGAATTTATTAATTTTTTTTGTCGGCATACTAATAAATCCAAAATAAATATAAATACTATTTATATATGTGGGAATATATTTAAATATAAAGGTGCAATAACTAGAACTTTGATTTAAATAGAATGTTGACTTTTAAATAGTTTTATTCCGTTTTCTGTAAAGATGAAAACAGTAACAAAAATAAGATTCCATTTTCTTGTGGTTCTACGTTTCGTTAACGTAATGCATGTGATGTCAGTATCCTATTTAATTATCTTGAATCAAAATTGATTTTATTATTTATCGGTGGGGGTGGGTGTACAGACTATTTTGTTACATACAAGGAGATAACAAGAGCAAGACAAAGATGAACATGACAGCTCCGGTTATCACACAAACAACACCCGGTAAATCAGTCTACACGGTCTCTTTCTACCTCCCAAAGAAGAACCAACAAAACCCACCTTTGGCCGATGACCTCCACGTGCAGTCTTGGAAACCAACCTACGTAGCCATGAGGCAGTTCAGTGGGTATGTGACGGATGCTATAGCCAAGAAAGAAGCTGCAGCTGTGATGGACAGCCTAAAGAACACTAAATGGAAAGTGCACATCGAGCAGAGCAAAGGAAAGTCGCCCGAGTATTTGGTAGCCGGTTACAGCCCGCCGTTCCAGACCACGGATAGAGTTAATGAGATTATGGTCCCGTTTACCATGTAATGAGGTTACGCCCTCACGATATGAATGCTAAAAGTATGTGGAATTGGATTAAGAGAGAAGATTATTAGGCGAAATGTAACAGCTTCTGCTTAATCAGTTAAAAATAGCTTCTGATTAAACTGGTTTAATTAATAAAAGATAGTGTATGGTTAGTATTTTCATTTTCTTGCTAACAAGAAGTTTAGTAAGAATACTGAAAAGAAGAAAAAGATGTAATCGAACCTAACCAAACTGTTCAAATCGAAACCGAACCAAAAGATATGTTAATTTGTTCTTATAGAAATCGAATGTGAATTCAACTTAAATGTAACTGAACCAAATAAACATAAACTTAAGAAGAATGCATCAAGCTAAATACAATTACGAATTATTATTTGGTTTTACTTTCCACATATCTAAAAAAAAACAAAATATGAGAACCGAAACCAACTATAAACTGGAATTAGATTGTTGACCCGCACTTTAAAAAGTGTGGGATTGTTTCTCAAAAATATATTAGCTACAAAAAAAATTATACATATTTTATATATTTCTATCTTTTAACATAAAAATTTATATTTCTTTGAACACATAAGTAGAAAACTTATATTTATGTAATTACTAGATAAGTCATGGCGTTAGAACGAGTTTTGTTTGATGTTCTAATTTAATAAAGAACATAAAAATAAGAAATAATTTTATTATAGATTTAGAATTCTTTTTTTTTTGCATAAGTTGTGTGAGATTTATTTTATAGTTACAAACTCATTAATAGAATTGGATCTAAAAATATATCTTCCTAACAATTAAATAAGATAACTTTTCAGAGGACATGTGGTGTCTGATTACGAACATCTATTTTCTGCATATTATTTATATATCTGATTACATCTGTAAAAAATCGTGTTATCCAATAATGTTATTTCAAGCAAAATTCATTACGAATACCCAATCAATTGATAGAAATATACAATGTTCGACAACCAAATTGATAAAAGAAAATTGATATAAAGTTATAAATATTACCATATAAATCGTATGGAATCTTTCAGTTGAGCGAAATCTTCATAATTTCAAAAAAATATTTTCTAGACGGTGCTTGAGGTAATTGTTTCTCCACATATGCACATAACCCATCTCCCAACTTTTCAATAAGATAATAATGTACATAACCTTGAATAGTATTTCCTACATAACAAACAAATTATTGTTGGTGTCAAAAACCGTACTCTCGAAATCAACGTCTGCGATAACTTCTGTAAAAGGGGGATCATTACTTTCCACAAAAGTGATTTTATAAAACTCAGAGATCGTTTTATAAAACTCGAGAATCGTTTTATAAAACTCAGAGATCGTTTTATAAAACTCGAGATTCGTTTTATAAAACTCGAGAATCGTTTTATAAAACTCAAGGAATCGTTTTATAAAACTCGAAGAATCGTTTTATAAAACTCGAGAATCTTTTTATAAAACTCGAAGAATCATTTTATAAAACTCGAGAAATCGTTTTATAAAACTCGAGAATAATTATATAAAACTCAGAGATCGTTTTATAAAACTCGAGAATCGTTTTATAAAACTCGAGAATCGTTTTATAAAACTCGAGAAATCGTTTTATAAAACTCGAGAATCGTTTTATAAAACTCGAGAAATCGTTTTATAAAACTCGAGAATCGTTTTATAAAACTTGAAGAATCGTTTTATAAAACTCGAAGAATCGTTTTATAAAACTCGAGAATCGTTTTATAAAACTCGAAGAATCGTTTTATAAAACTCGAAGAATCGTTTTATAAAACTCGAGAATCGTTTTATAAAACTCGAAGAATCGTTTTATAAAACTCGAGAATCTTTTTATAAAACTCGAAGAATCGTTTTATAAAACTCGAGAATCATTTTATAAAACTCAAAGAAACGTTTTATAAAACTCGAAGAATCATTTTACGAAACCGCAAAAAACCGAAACAGCCGTAAAACGCGAACTAAGCCGGCCCGGCTTAGTTCGCCGATGGGCGAACTAAAAACTTCTCGGATATCCCGCGCCTCGATCTGCCGCATCCCCGATTCAAAACTTACGTCTTTCGACACGATCGTATTCTAAACTACGGCTGAAACATCTCCCGTTCCATATCGATCCGACTTACCGTTCGAGTTTTACGATAAAAACCGTAAAACTTCGCTTTCTCGGAAAGAAATCGAGGAAATCGTATAAAACGGCAACGGTCAAACGAAACACCGAACATTGCCTAAACTATACGATTTATTCGAGATTTCTCGTTTAAATCATAAAAACGTGTTTTTTAATAAAAAACGCCGAGTAAGTCGTAAAAAAACGTGTTTTTAATAAAAATCGAGTAAATCGTAAAACCTTGCGATTAACTCGAGTAATTTATTAAAAACGACGTCAGATCAGGAAACGATCCCGTAAAAAAGTCAGAAAACAGATTTATCGCAAAACGGCCCGGAAGGACCTAAAACGCGATAAAAACCCATCTCGCGATTTCAATGGAATCTAACCCGCAGATTTGATAACGTTTTGACGGTTTACTCGCAGAAGGAAAATAAAGGCAAGTTTGAAGATAAATAGAAGATTTCCGCGGAAGAAAAGGAAGGATCGAGAAAAATGGAAGATTCCCGAAATACTCAAGTCCGGCAAAATGGAAAGATCGAAACGTCAAGGCAAGGAGTATATAAACCAGAGGCGTAGGGCAGAAGAGGGGGACGAAAATTAGACCTAAAAAGACGGCTGTTAGCTTAGGAATTTAGAGCTTAGCGTTTAGACTAGCAATTCAGATCCTTAGAACGTTTCGACGTCTAAGTTCTTCAATTCTTCTTGTAACAGTTATCGATTCTAATTTAATAAAAGCTTTCGCACAAGTTCTTACTCTCTGTTCTTTATTGTTCATCCATATTCTCCTGAATTCGTTTGTTTTAGTGATTTTCGCAGAGATCCAGGACCTCGGGAAAATTAGGGTTTTATCCTAAGTTTCCATATTTGACGGAAAATCGACAGTGTGGATTTCGGTTCCCACAGTTTGGCGCTAGAAGGAGGGGGGGTCGGATTCTCTTACACAAATCGCTAAAACGAACGAGAAATAACATGCCTAATCTGAACGGCGACGTCATCTCGTTCGAGAAAAGAGCAACGATCGATTCGGTCAAACCTCTCAACAATCTTCTCATTATTGAGCTGACGATCCGGAATATGGATGCCGCAAGGATATTAGTCGATACCGGAAGCTCGGCTGATATCATCTTCAAAAATACTCTCGAGAGAATGAAAATCGATCTGTCTGAAATCGCGGAAAACGTAAGCCCGCTAGTAGGACTCTCGGGAGAAATCACTATGACCCTCGGAACGATCAACTTGGCAGTTCGCGCTGGGAGCATAGTGAAAAACGTCGAGTTCGAAGTCGTCGATCGACCTATGTCCTATAACGCAATCATAGGGACACCGTGGTTAAATTCGATGCAAGCGATTACATCGACATACCATATGTGTCTCAACTTCCCGAATCCGAACGGGATCGAGACTATATGGGGAAATCGACGAACCTCGCAGGTTTGCTACGCCGCGGATTTAAAACGAAAAAATTTGCCGGTCGATATCTCTTCCAAAAAGAAAAAGAAGTCGACGTCCCTCGACAACGCCCCAGAGCAAGATAAAACGGAACTCTTCTGGCAGTTGCGAGCGGCCGAGGCTTTGGAAGGTAAGCGCGAGCCAACCTGCGAACCCGTCATCTCGGTATGCATCGACGAGAATTTTCCAGAACGCTGTGTCGAAATCGGTGCAAA